GCTTTCTTGGACTCCGAAGCAGGATCATTCTGGTAAACCATAAAGGCCTGATGCTTCTCGGTTAGCAGATCCTGGATCTTTTTGTCACTCTCGTCAAACCAATCCTGGTGCTTGCGTTTGAGTGATCCAAGGTGCTGTGAAGCAGTAGCACGGAGAACTTCTTGGAGCTTCGTCCACCGCTCTTCGGGATCAGCATCAGCATCTGCAACGGCATTCGTGATGGTATATTCCAGTTCCTTCCGAAACGCCTCAGCAACTTCAGGAATCTTCTTCAGCCGGGCAACATTCAATTTTAAATACTACATTCTTTATCCATTCCCTAAGGGATTTTCAAGAATTAGAGTAATGTATAATAATAGCATACCAACCGCACTGTATAATAGACCTAATACTAATGTCTTATGACAAGTATAACTAACTACAATCACGATTCACTAGCTTGTAAAAAACATTCACACCATAACAAGTATCTACTGTAGTGAAAGAAAGATAAAACTATAAATGAGAACGTGTAAAGAAAAATTAGGCCAGTCAGTTCTCGTGCTGTAATAAAGTATGGTTTACCTAATACTCACAAACTAAACATTCCCGTAAGACCAATAGCGTTAAACATTGGCACTTATTACAATAAACTGCATTTTTTGGTTGTTTTCTCGTGAATAATGTATTGTGTTCAGCGTGAAAAATAATTTTGAGTTTCGACTTCAGTGCAGAATTTAATGTATAATTAAAATGTGTATGTAGTTAGCTACGATGTGGAGTCTCTTTACACTAACATTCCGCTACAAGAGACTATTGGTCCATTATTAAGATGTTGTTGTTTTTTCTTCTGTCTTAATATACAGTCTTTTGCAGATAAAAAATCACGTTCTATATTCAATGGAACAAATAATGATTAAATTAACGGTGTTTGTATGAGATCTAAGTTCCACTTGTTATGGCTAATTATTTTCGATTTTTTTCCCTTTTAACTACAACGGATAAACGAACGACCCCTAAAAATCAAGTCACTTCGTTATGGAACGTATGTTGATGACACTTTTACTATCTTTCAATCACAGAGTTCTGTTCAAAAATGTTTGTAATATATAAATAGTAAACAACCATACATAACATTTACTGCTGAATGTGAAGAAGAATCCAGCTTATCATTCTTGAACACTCTTGTTTATAATCGACCATGTAAATTTGAATTAAGAATATAATGAAAGCCAATTTTTGAAGGACTTTATGCACATTTTAGTAGTTTGTTCTTAAGGCATTTAAAGTAATTTAATTAAAATAATTATTCACTGTAATTATAGGACTGAACGCAGTAATACTAATCTAAATAATGAAATATGCAGCAATAAAATTATTTTGAAACGCAACGAGTTTGGCAGAGGTTTCATTAATCATTTTATCAATGAAATGCTGAATATGCGGATCACCTGTAAAGTCTTGAAGTTGGACATAAAGAAATAAGCCAGTAGTTACAGTTTTACAGTGTTTAGGATAACAAATCGCTACATATTTTAAATAGACTTAAATGTATTTTAAGTCTATTCTTGCAATATGTTTTTCATTTTAAAGATGTAATAAAATGAGAAGCCGTTTGTTATCTGCAAATTTGTATTGCCTTCTTGTGCGGATGAATATGTAGAATTTACTAATAGGTGGCTCTCAACTTTTACGAAAGAGCATATTTCTGGGAAAGTTCTCATCAGTATATCACTTACCACTAAGTCTTGCTGATGAGGAGAAGAAACTACGATTTCGAGAGAATTTAATAATTGTTAATCTAAGCTTGGATTAAAGAAAAGAAATCAGCAATATCGCTTCTCCTAAAAATGTAATCTTTAAAAACATTTTGAAAATATTATAAGCATCAAATACAACTTATATCCAAACACCCACAGAACGGAAGAGAAGTATTCAAATTTATTTATTTATTAAACCATTGGAGCTTTTAACACAGAAAAAAACGTTTATTCAGGATGTTAGGAAAACACGCAGATTCAAAAACTCAATTTAACAGAAAGACCTATAACCCGAGCTCTTTCGAAAAGTGGACATTTCTTCATTATTCCCAGTTTTCCGCTAATGAATAAAAGTCCACCTTTCGAAAGAGCTCGGGCTATAGGTCTTTGTAATTTTGTGAAATGAAATGTTAGGTGTTTGTAGTTAAAAAAGTATTGTTGTTTACTTTTTTTCTACATTTAAGTAAAGTTTTCAGAACATCCCCTGAAGTATTTAATTACTTCAGGGTGCATCAAAATGTCATCCTTTCATAATGTGTGTTAATCTTTCAATCAACACTATAGATAAATAAAGTGTCTCTTATCAATTCAAATAAGATATAGACCCAGTATGTCCAATAATATTTGAAATAACACAAAAATATCTTTTACTAACAAGCAACAACCGTAACCAAGTTGATATGTGTTCTGTGTAGTGAAATATTAAACGCGGTTCCTGAGACTGGAAAGCTCGTAAAACCATGAAGAGATCATAGACTCGTGCTAGGAATGACATGATCAAGGCAATTGATGGAGGACCGTAAGAAAGGTATTAAGTCGAGGATACAGAGCCTTGTAAGTCAGATATTGAATTGGATGGTCATGAAGATGAATAGTCTATTGAAGAGATCGAGAGAAGCACGTGTTACTATGATATCGGAAAGACAGGAAGTCAGAAAGTGAAAAGTAATCTTAGTCTCAGCAAAGAAATTAAGTCACTTGTAATCTAATAGTTCTATGGATCAGCTATATCATCAGTTTCAAGGAAAACTAAGTGAGGTACATGAAACAACACTGACTTCCCAATCAGTAAGTAAAGGTTTATGTGTTGATTTGACTTCCATATTCAAATATGTTAAGAAAGAGTTTGTGGGAATCTGAATGTAACAATTTTATGAACTTGCATTGTTCTTAATATTCTACATAATTATACATGTTTTTTCCCAACCTTTCATTAATCAAAAAAATTTGAAACTATGGAACTTTCAAAATGAAATAAGAAGGAAATGTAATCATCCAGAAATTCATCAAAGTCGTTAAGTATTATTTTCTACCAACATAATCAACTGTGTTCAACGTTGTCTAGATTTTTTCGTTCATTTCTGGTGATAGCAAAAACTTATGTGAAAAGATATCAACCCGTAAATCTAAATATGTTAGGATGTCTTCATTTTTCTATAAACATGAAATTTAAACAATAAAATTCAGAACCAACGCTGCAAAGATTTTATATGGCTCTAATAGAAACATTTGATTGTTGTTAAGCACAAAGCTACACAATGAGCTATCTGTGCTTTGTCCACTGCGAATATCGAAAACCGAATTTTAGCGTTATAGTTCCTCGGAATATCACTGAACCCCCGATGAGCCTAACGAAAACAACAACAAAAAACTGTACTCGACTATCTATAATAAATAATGTTTCTGAGAATAAAACACTGTTTTTCATTTTGAAAGCTTTAAATAAATCTGAACGATGGCATTGTTTAAAATTAATATGACTTCCTGTTCGGTTCAAATGCAACACACAAATATGAAATTTTAATCTTTGTATATTGTAAAATTTACATTCACTTCAAAGCTCATAGAAAAATAGTCTTAAATAATCATTGCAACTAAAGTATTATATTGCGTGACATTTTAAAATAAATTAGAAGTTCTAGTGTAACACAGACGCTTAAATAAAAAATCAATCAAAAAAGAAAAGAAATAACATGGTCCAAAAAAGCTTTCTATTTTAATACGTTACAGATTTGGCATAACATTAAATAATCCTTCGGAATAGATAATTTACCTTAGCACATTTATTTCTAAAAATCTCCACAAAGGAAATATCTTGCTCTATTTACCTTTCATAATGTTATTTTATTATTTATGAATTTCACGCTGATATCCACGACAAAATACACGTCTATAATAACAAATGATTTGTGAAAACACGGATACTCACAAATATTCTTCATTTAGAACAATAGTGTTTGTGGTTGACTTGAATTCTGCTCAAATAATGAACAACGACTTATACATTAATTAAATGGTTTGTTATTACAGTTAGATTCTTATAAAGTGTGAAAATTAATATACTCAAACTTACAGCATACATTGTTTGACAGTTTCAAATATATTAATATAATTATAATGTAGATCTTTAACATAAAGATATTCTGAGTAAAATTGTTTTGTTAACCCTGATAACTGAACTCACTTTCCAAAACCACCGGAGTTTTGGAGTTATTTAATTAATTGTGATTTCGTTTCCGAGAGTTAATAAGAAAAAGTGAAACTTATTCTCAGTTTATCAACAAGCTTTCAGAATAAACAGTTTATCCGACAAAAGCAGTTCTTTCTAAGCTTCAGCTACATTCCAATGCAGAGACTTTGAAAGTATATTCGAAGAACATTTGGCACTTAACATCCATAAGGTAAAACCACTGATGACCTTGAATATTCATTCTGACGAATATAATTATAGTTGACTTTTTTAGCAGCTTGCTCGATTCTGTGATGCATCACACAGAGGTTGAAACCTTGTTTCGTTGGTTGATGACACTATTAACTCCATGCTGAAAAATACAGAAATATGTATATTAATTAATTTATTTATTAATTTCTCTATATAGAAATCCGATAAGTGAAAAGAGACTTCGGAACAGAGACTTGAATCTCGGACCAATGCTCTAATACTGAGCACTCAAAAAATACCATCCATCTCCATCGCTATTCACCTATAAGGCTTCTTACAATGAATATGATCGATATACTATGTCATGATCAGGTAATTCGAGAGTTGATTTACCACCACCCAACCATATTATACAAAGTCTATCGCAAACAGAATACACGAGCTTGTAATACTTCATTTTGAACAGAAAGTAAGTCAAAATTACCTTTTAACTTCTTATCTCACATTAGTTACACGTTCCTTTTAAATCTGCATTAATAACACTTTAAAATTCCTTGTAAAATTTAGAGAGTTTTAAATCAGTTTTAAAGACGCGACGTTACGACTTAGAAAGTATACCGAAATCATTTATAAAAAAAAAACTTCGTATAAATCAACAACTTTGAAAGGAAAATAAACATTTTATCATTTTCAAAATGTTGAAATTTCAATCTCCCAAAACTACAATATTCAGAATCAATTAAGCTAAGTAATAACATTGCTTATGAAAGTCTATTTCGTTATAGAGCAAAGCTGTATAATTGGCTATCCGCAGCTCTGTTCGCCGAAAGGATCGAGCTCTGAATTTTCGTGTTATAAGTCCAATAAGTTTATCGCTGAGCCACAGTGGGGGACGCATATCAAAATAAACGAAGTGGACTTTTTCAGTGAATTATTCTTACAATAAAATACTATACTTTATACGATTATTTATAACAAACTATATTCTTTAGGTTGATATCAAATATTTTTATATTATACTATGATTGAACTATGTGAATAAAAGCAATAAATTATGACCTATAACTTTTTAGTGTATTTAAGTTACTAATATTTTTATATAATATTATTTTAGTTTTTTTCTAAATAGTTATTCAAATTTTATACAAATAAGAATTGTCTACGACATATATATGTATACATATATTATGTTTATTTTACTCATACATGCTATTTATTGGGCCTACAGGTTGAAATTCGGTTTAATTTATAAATATGTCCTTCTTATGTCATACTAACCACCTGCATTTTATTTTACTGTTACCTAAGCTCCAGTTTTGGGGGATTTCTTTTTTTATTACCTTCTTACTTGGAGATTACCTATATGGCCTGCCTCAACTAAATTTTGAGTAGAACCATTTATTCTGAGCTAATGCCTTGTGTTTTTCGTATCTAATGAAGCTATTATATATCATTACCCCTCAGTTAAACATATGACCAAAACAGTTTGAAGAATGAGGTATCTTGGATAGGCACTGATACGGATGAAATATTAGTGCCTACAGTTCATTTCTTGTATGATAATGAGTTCAACATCATAGATAGTACACTAGCAGAACAGTAAGAAAGATTTAATATCTTATGGATAGAAACACCCAATCTACCCAAGGCAATGTTGAACAGCAAACTCTGAACAATACAATGGAAAAAAATAATAATCTTATTCTGAGTGCATAAATAAAGTGCATGTCATAAAGTTAGGCACACAGAATATGGCTACTTCTGGTTTGAATTAGCAACTGGAAGTGGCTATGTTCCAGGCGCTAAAGCCCAGTCTCCTTACACTTGAAAACTGGAATGCAATAGTGTCTTATAGCGGCTGGCGTAACCTGGTTATTAGTGTGCTCGACTTGCAATGTGTAGGTCTAGGACCTGAATTCCTTCGCCGAATATGACTACCCTTTCAGCCGATGGGTGGGGCGTTACAATGTGACGGTCATTCCCACTATTCTTTGGTGAAGAGAGAGATCCAAGAGTTGGTGATGTATAGTATTGATTAGCTGTCTTCCCTCTAGTCTATCGCTTCAGAATTAGCGTCGGCTAGTGCAGGTATCCTTCAAGTAGCTCTACGCTAAAATTCAACAAACAAATCCCCCTAGTGGAAAACAAAGAGTTAATATTTTTTGTTTAGTAGAATATTCTAAATTGTCACTAAAATCAGCAGGGAATGTCTGTGGTCAACAAGTGATAGAAGAATTTATAAAATAGGCTACAAATAAGTTTCACAGCATAATGTAAAATTGGCTTTTCACTATACTCCACAGTAGCGCATGGCTTGATTTTAGGCTATAGCCAAAAGCTTATTAACTAAAAAAGTATGGTTCCCTGTATCTTTAGAAATTATTGTATTCACATTTAGAAAGAAATAAACAAAGTACATTATATGAAATAATTAGCTATATCCGTGAATCCTGAGATGATCACTCCTTGATCAATATTTAGCTAATTGTTTCTTTCAAAATTAATAAGCCCGACTAATGGACTATCCGAGAGTTATTTTATGTTTAACAGCTATTATATGCATGAGTAATACAACTATAAATTTTTAATGCTTATGATATACTATAAATTCTCATTATAGTGCTCTTATTCTTGACAAATGGCGCTATGGAATACTACAGTAATCATTCTAAATAAGGACACCAGAAAGTACAATTTGTGAAAAAATTTCGCAACCATTTACAGACATATGGTTGCCATATGTTCACATTATGCCAAGCAGGAATATAGAAAAAAAGTACAACATAAATTTAATGTTTAGAATCTACCTTCTCCATACAGTTTATCACGTGATCTCTGAGTTCTATAAATTACAAGAGTGGTCTTGGCTGATAAACAATAAGGTTTTAAAGGTAATTCTAGAAATTAAAATATTGATTTAATGTCCTTATGTACTAGTGCCGAGTGTGGTGAATTGATCTTTCAGAGAGGCAACTAAGTCAAAGAGGAAATTGTACAAAAGTTTACAAACTGTTAACTAACAAAACTGTAATGAAGATCCCAACCTACGAGTATGGTGCCATTTGCTGATTTATAATTTAATGTTATTTTATTTTGAGCATCTAAATTAAAATAGGTTTAATTAACCACTGTATTGATGTACAATAATGGATAGTTATTAATTATCAAAAATGTTAAGAAATAGACTTATGTTTAAATCGTTAAAAGGAGCTGATGTATATTTAAGACAACCATTTATTCACTTAATAAATTTTAATTAATAAAAGTTTTGTGTACAGCATATTACTAGTTACAACTCATGGAACACGTGCGTCTTGCCATTCAAAATTATCAGAGTTGAGGTCTGACAGAAGCAACTTACCTGAAAGTATAGGTCGCCTAGCATTGAAGCAGGCACTGCGTCTGCTGGGTATAATTCTGATTTACAGACGAACAGTTTGAACAGGGTGTTAGTATACTATACCATTCACTTGTCAGTCCAATGGTAAAGTTGCAGCATGGTGTAATAGGTTAACTCGTTGACGTATACAATGTCCAGTTAAGTTCTAAAATTGTTAATTTCTTCAAATACTTGCAGTAGAATATCGAGTAGCGTCCTGCTTCAGGACAGAGTATGATCCAATTGAACGTATAAACAGTAGTAAAACTGGTTCAATACTACGTCACTATATCTACGAACAATCGAACCCTACTTGGTAGCACAATACGTTCCTTATACCTATTGGTTTTGATGACTCCCCACACCGTAACTGAATAACCATAAACACGGTCAGATTTAAGGATATTGCACTGTAAATATCATTCATTTTTTACTCTTCTCACATGGAAATATCAATCACTGAGAGAAATATGTAATCTTATCTTAACTGAGTTAATATTACGTATTTCTCTAAATGAGTTAAAATGAGTTCAGGCTTTCACTCGGGTTTGCTGCCATTTCTAGTGATATCGATAAAATTCCAAACGAGCTCTGCACCCGACTGCAGAGCTAAAGCGGAATTTTTTTACTTTGAGTCGGACTTATAAGTTTGTTTCTTACTGGTTGTTCACTAATGATCATTGCATTTACTGCCCCGAAATTCATTGTGAGTTTTTAAGCAAAGAACTGGCAATTTCTGGTGACTCTGTAATCCAAACAGCAATCATTATGTGACCAATTACCGTTTCAACATTATGATCAGGTTATGTAGAGAATATATTGTTTATTTTATACATCGATTCACAACCTTTTCATGGCGGATCTGAATACACCAAACTGAGTTTCCTGTTGTATCAATGATGTCCATTTTTAAGCATCTAAACAAATTTAATAATTTGTACATTTATCAACAACCCTGATCCGCCTTCAACAAGGCAGATAACATTGTTGCACAGTTATTGAAAATCAGTAAATGAAATAACCATCCAAACAGCAAATCTTTAAATGATTATGTCTGAAGGGGAAACAAGGGATTTTTCAATGCGGTTAGCACGTTCAAAATGCGTCAAAAAAGTGGTGCAAGCTCGCAAGAGGATGCATGAAACGAATACATAACTAATAGCATATCGATTGTTTTCAGAAGACAATTTTCCAGGCATCATTCAGTGATCGCTTTCTTAATTTTTGAAGGGTTTATATTGTTACTAAATATGAAACTGGTATATCTTTTATACATCAACAGCGCAATTAACAAATTTGACCAATAATAGTCGACTAAAAAAGATTATGATAAAGGTTCTACGATCGTTGCATACTTAATATGTAATTTTATTTTAAGTTTTATTTTAACATAGTCTGGTGTTTGTTTGTTTTTAATTATGCACAAAGCTACACAAGGGCTATCTGTGCTCTGCCCACCACGGGTATCGAAACCCGGTTTCTAGCGTTGTAAGTCCGCAGACATACCGCTGTGTCACTGGGGGGCACAACATAGTCTGGTAAAGTTGCTATACAGAAGTCTCCATATTAATAACATAAATAGTGTAGAAATGTTTTATCTTGAACAACTAGCCTATCAGTGGAACAAACAACTCTAGAATAAAATGGACAAATAGGTTAAATTCGACAGAGATATAAGCTGAAAAGTGTTTTAAAATCTTAGGTTGTAAGATTTATCTCAAATGTATGAATTTATATAACCACCTAAGCAATTGTGATAAATTACTGAAGATGGTATAAGGAACAAAACCATGATTATAAGCTTATAGTAATTAGCTAACGGCAAATGTAAGAAAGTATAAAAAGATGATTTACTATGTGAGAATATAAAAATAAATGAAATATAATGAACTGAGTAAACCCTGTTGGAAAAATACTTGAAATTTAGAAGTATGTGGAAATGGTTGAAAACATTAACAAAAATCATATCAATTTCAAGTTAAGGAAAGGAAAGGACCTCAAGTCTCAAACTCCTAATTACGGATTCGTAAAATGTAATAATTAAGTTAAATAATGTAAAAATTAAATAAAGCATAATGTTTGGGACAGAAATTTTCCTGGAATGTTTGATTTATACATTATATTTTAAGACTGAGCTTTCTGAAAGACCCTGCAGCGTGTTCTATCCAAAATTAATATATCTTTAAAACTTCTAGCTTTAGTATTTCATAACTTCAGTATTTGCTTTCGTTTGTCAGTCAAATTAGTATGATTTAAGTGCATATAACACAATTTTTATGAACAGCTTCTAAAGTAAAATGCTTGTTTTCTATTGTTGAATTTTTAAAGAATCTAACTTCTAGTTGCGAGTCTATCATTAATAAAGTGAACTTGCAAAGCTAACCCTTAATATATTTCCCAGTTAACAATATTATTTTTATTTTTTGATAACTTGGTTATAAAACAAATCATTAGTGTATTCATACTGGTATTTTTAAAGATACATCACAGCAGCCTTGTTGTTACAGCATCATACATTACTTTATGCATTGTACTCAAACAATAACAAATATATAGAAACACGATGTTGCAATCATACAACTTTGGTAGGAGTTACATTCAGTACTGTCATTCAGTGGCTCAGCGATATGTCTGAAGTCTTCTAACGCTAAAATCCGGGTTTTGATACCCTTGGTGGACAGAGCACAGATAGTCTTGTGTATAGCTATATGCTTAACAACAACAAAAGAAAAAACATTCATTACTGTCACCTGTCATTAACTATTTCAATAAATTTTATTACGTTTTACAAAAGCATTTAAAATATTTAATACTGCTACATCACATTTACGTCTAAGCGGTTTTCTACATCAAATATGTAAATCAGATACTAACGTACATGAGTAATAAGAAAATGTAAGAGATGGAGAGAAAACCCTCTTAAGATTACTAAACTGCCTGTTGAAAATCGATACCAACCCTCTCGGGCATGTATGACATCGGTTCCATTAGAGGGGTTTCGACTGTTATATTACACTCATCTTCCTGGTCTGGTTGAAACACCAGCGATCTTGCTTTATTGTAAAAGCCGAAGTCTATAGGTGAGTTCGTTGGTTTAACGGCATCAGACACTTGAGATGCTGTCCCGGAAACTTCTGAGTACGACATTCCTTGCGTATCCTGGAGAAACTTGATATGTAACATTCACAGAAACATACATCTTAATAATCATGCTTGTCATCCTAGAATTTGACTGTTTACTAAAGATGTATGTGTTTCAGTAGAAAGAAAAACATAGACATGCATTATACATATATACACTCTATTTCATGATGTGTTAAATTATAGTTTTATTGTTAAACAAGCAAAGTACCTGTCCCCAGTGACGGTAAAAGTTTATTTTAATCTAAGAAGTAGAATTATTTCATGGATTTTTAAAACGCTAATTGTGTTACACTCTTGGTTTCACTCACAGCCAAAACTCTGAGCTACTCATACCGCCCACCACGAAAAGTAATTGTTGAGCATTTTAGTCATGCTAAGAGCCGCTCAACAATAGCATACGGTAAATCTATATTTCTAATCTTTAGGTTATGCCACATTTTGAAATGTGGATGATAGTATGATTAATTCCTAATTATTTAGTGTAGAATTTCCTTCTTGCGAAATAAAATTTGCTATCAACATTATTCATGCCTGTTCTCCTGTCCTTTCAAAAGTGAATGTTGAGCTTTGTCTGAGTGCGCAGCTTTTTAAACAGGAGACAGACGAACGCTCGGACAGGCACTAACGATTCGCAATAAATATAAGATAACAAAAGCCCCCTCCAGTGATACAACTGTAATTTGGTAGGCTTACATCACCAAAAATCAGATTTCGATACCCGTAGTGTAGCTTTGGGCTTAACAAGAATCAATCAAATTAACACACAATACAAATTCTAGTCGCTGAAAATTTGACATTTACCAATGCAATTTAACTACGTTTACGTACCTGAATGAACACAATACGTAATAACTTAGCTAATAAACTGTTTTTGTTCTCAGTACTTCATTCTTAACTCATCTAACTCAAGTGAGTATAATGCAATGATACTACTATGACATATTTTATGCTTCTTTTTATATCTCTTCTTACGCTGTCTCGGTCATTTTGACCGCTCTTGTAACCACCATGCAATTATAATACTATGCATACTATAACTTTTAATGTAGTATATGTACTTCTACGAAATTTTGAAAACGTTTAGCTAAACATTACAAGTATGTTGTAAAAATCAGGTTTTTTAATAAATATTTCTACATGACTTGTATGAAATTTTATGAAGCCGTTATTTACTGAGTCAGCCCGACTGCAAGGTGATTTTTATGTTAGAACAGAAAAAGTTTTTCATCTTAGAGTTTTCAAATCTTATTTGCATACTTCTTAGACTTTCCTAAATGAATATTAAAAGTTTTTATCCAGTAAAACTTTATATTCTATTTGTTACTTTTTTATATCCTAACGCTAAATTTATCGGTCTTGGTCAATCTGACCGACGTTCTATCCATAACCAAAGAAAAAATGAAGTAAATCTAAATATACCATTTTTTTCTAGAATTACTATACATTATAACAGACAATTATATATTATTAATTTTTACAGGTAAAGTTATATCTTAGCTCAGGGATATCTAACGTATAAGAGTGTAAAGTTATGGAAAAATAGAAAATATCAATGGGGCAATTCGGAGCGAAAAAGTGACACGAGATACATGGAAATGATTTTGTTGTTTGAAGTTAAGCACAAAGCTACACAAT